CACACACACACACACACACACACACACACTCGACAATTTGACTGGAAATACGGATACGTGATTACCCATGTTGACACCGCCGTCTTTCCCCAAGCACGGCGCACCCTGATTATGAATGAGAGTGCACGCATTGCAGGCTTGGTGAGCCCCGCCGACATGGACTACCGCCCAGCCAGAGGCCAGATCAAACATGGCATGGACGGTTGGGTTACGACGTACAAGTCACAACCCATGCAAGCACGATTACGCCATATGAAAATTTTCAAGCGTTTTGAAGTTTTCAGCTTCTCAAAGAGTTTCACTTTCCATTCGTAAACTTTACAAGAGAGAGAGAGAGAGAGAGAGAGAGAGAGAGAGAGAGAGAGAGAGAGAGAGAGAGAGAGAGAGAGAGAGAGAGAGAGAGAGAGAGATGAAAACGTTTTTTTTTTTCAGATCACCATAAGCGATTTATGCGATGGAAGTTTGAAAAATCTAAGATTGCCTCAGTGATACTCCTCCGAGGCGCGAGCGCATGGAACAACACATAAGCAAAACCAGAAGTGTAAGTAAAAACAACCTCAGGAAGTTGGGAATTCATAGAACAACAAAGAACTCTCACACACAACTCCCCTTTTTTCTCCTCCCTCTTCCTTCTCCCTGTTCTCTTCCCTCTTCCCCTTCCAAATCCACCTCCTTGTAGTCCACCTACATGTACACAATTGAATTATTGAAGTCATTTTAGGAGGAGGAGGAAGAGGAGGAGGGACCAATCATCAGTCCGGTTTACGAGCTACTAATACTTCTGAACTTCTGACGTGACACAACGTTCAAGACCTGGCCAAAGTTGCTGCACCCACCCCATTCTATTGTGCACAACGTGCGTGTAACATGCATACATGCTGCCCACCGCATGCACGATACTGATAAGCCGCAAATGTTTTAGACGCAAAGAAAAATCCAAACAAATCCAAAACAAAACTGTAAAAAAAGAGTTTCCAAGGGAAAAGTACGCAATGTGGTAAAAAGTTAAAAACTACTATTTTTTTTTCTTCTTCTTCTTTTTTTTTTTTTAAAGGAGAAGTGAAAAGCAGTGTCCTTTGCATAGGCATAGGCAACGTGTTCTTTTTTTTTTTAAGAAGAAGAAGTGAAAAGCAGTGTCCTTTGGCATAGGCATAGGCAACGTGTATGCGTATGCGTAGGGGACCCCGGGCCCCGCACGCCAACTTTTTTTTTCTTTGGTGCTTTTCGGTTTTCGGCACCTGAGCGTTATTATAAGACAGTGTTCGTAGCTTGAGACTTGCCCGAGACCGCACACACAGGGCCCAAACACCACTCCACCCTACTGCCAAATCCCATACCTGGCCCGTACAAGGGCTGTACGAGTTCCTGTGCGTGCGTACGAAGCAGATCTAAAAAGCTATTTTGAGTTTCTTCAGACCAGATTCCTATCCCAAAAATCTTTTTTTTTTTTTTTTTTGTCGGCGTGTTCGATAAAAAAACTTTTAGCCGACAGACTCAGTCACTGAGCATGAGAGGAAGTATACGGTAGAGGCAAGCTGACAGTGCAATCCTCTATGAAAATGGGGCAATCAAGGCCATCCGGGGATCCGTTGGCAATGGAAGGAAGTGTGTGTAGTACTGTGTACCTGTCGTATTTCTATGACTTGCTGGTGGAAAAGGCACGGGACTGACATTCCGCAGAATGGAAGAGGAGCCAGGTCCATAAGGCCCTGTGTTTTCTTTAAAAAAAGGAAGAATCAAAAATTTTCTTCACCCCCCCCCCCCCCCCCCCTCTCTCCTCCCATTCTCCCTGCTCCCCCACCCTCCCCCACCCTAGATGATGAAACCAAAAAAGACAATATCTCCTCTGTGGTGTGTGAATTGGTGACATTGCCTCTACAAACACACAGAGAAGAACCACAGGCGAAAACCAAAAGCGTAAAAAAGGGGAGCCGGAGATATCAGAAGTGAGAATGCTGACATGAGTAACAAAAAATCAGGTGAAAAACATGATCGCCGAAAGTTCAAGGGTTTCTGCGTTCAGTCAATCTACGCTGAGTGAATCGGTCCCTAAGGAAACCCCGAAAGGCGGCGCCCATGGGTACTAGAAAGTGACGAACTTTGAATTAAGCTAGCGCTACTGAACAAAACAAAATTGGATGATTGGACAGGGCCTCAATTTCCGGGAAAAAACTTCTAGAATCAATTGTAGATTGAACCGTACCCCAAACCGACACAGGTGAACAAGTAGAGTATACTAAGGCGCTTGAGATAACCATGTTGAAGGAGGAGGGGTTGCTGGAACTCGTCGTGGGACACATTTCCATTTTCACCACAACTCATTGCAAGTCCCATTTGATGAGTCCCAAAGAACAGCACGCAAAAAAAAAAAGAGTGTGTCTAAACTTCTCTAAAGAGAGTAAGTTCACATACCAACAGGTGGTTTCTTTTCCTTTGAGAACTTCTCAAGCCCTTCCCAGTCTTTTGCATTGGCCAGCGCAAATATCTTCAGCCAATAGAAACGCTTTTCCGGAACCTGCAATGGCAGCAAGACCAGAGCAAAACACCATCGCCACATCAAATGCCGACCCACGGTGCATTGTCCCTGCCTGAATGGAACAGGTCGAGTGCTATCGGGCCCAGTACTGGGCCCAATGGGACTCGCGCGACAGGTTAGCCAGCGTAGTTCACCAGTAGTGGACAAACTTTTGTCGGTAGGCACAGGCATCAAAACTGCTGGGTGCAATCGCTCTCCCAAACACTTGGCACCAATCCCTACTATGTAGGCCATGGCTGCTCCCGTGTCGCCAATTCGCAAGCAATGGAAGCAGATCCACAAAGGGACAGACTTCACTCTCACAAGATCTTATCCCCGTTCTCCACATTCAGTACCACCTTTCCCCATCACATGCAACTAAGAGCACACTCACTCACAATAGAACTTTCATGGATGTATCAGTCGACAAAGTTCTTCATGCGAGTAATAATGCCCTAAAAGGTACCTTTTTCGCCCTTTTTCCCTTTTGTGCAGTGTTGCATACCCCGACGGTCGGCGCCCCTTGACTGGTCGGATGCCGACCAGCCGACCGGTCGGCCGGACAGCACCTACCGGTCGGGAGTTGTGGGCACCCCACAAAAAAAAGATTTTCTATTTTTATTTTTTTTCGGGTCCAGAACCCCCAATAACCCCACCAACACCCCCATACCCGCCCCAAATACCCCCATACACCCGAGTACAGCCTTGCAGGTGTGAGGTGGATATCGCGACCGGTATGGTTCCCACCTTTAAAACACCGTATCGTGATTAAGAGACTTGGCTTTTGTGGCCAAGGGCACCGCTAAGATTCCATGCACGCACGGATGGATCCAAGCGTCAGATAGTACGGATTCACAAACTACTAACATAGGCAAAAGACATCCATGATCAAACAGAACCACAGTCAGAGTATCAAACAGAAAGCACCAAGAAGCATCAAACATTCCTGACAAACTCCCGAGACGGTCAAGTCAGTGCATCAGAGGGAAGGAAGAGAACTGAGAGAAGATATGCATAGGGTTTAGGGCATACGGTTTAGCGTTTAGGATGTCACCTTGAATTCATTCCGGATTCTCGTTGCAGCCTTGTTGTTCCCCATGATCAGGCATGTACGGATTGTGTCGCTGACGCTGGAATCAACAAATATTGGCTGGCCTGTGCTGGCCTCCAACTCTTGCTGGATTCTGCAGAGAGTGAGAAAAACACATGATTGACACGAAACATCATCACCCACCACCACAAAAAGGCATACTCACGTGCACAAGTTTACCAGACACAATCAGGAGAGGCAAAAAAAAAAAAAAAAAAAAAATTGAGTGGGGCATGTAGTACCCGATATATATTCAGAAGCTTTATCGTCTTTTTTTTTTTTTCCGGCAATCACGAGAGAAGTAAGTGAGCGCTCAGTTGTCTATCTGCTTGCAGCATGCGATGTAAAAGAGTTCAAACTTCAAACGAACAATGCGCACAAGTTATCTATGTACATCCGGCATGCGATATAAAGTTATTATTAATAGTTTGTTACAAGTGTCAACTAGCTGATGACACTTTTTCTAGGCCATGGATCTTTATCTAGAATCAAGATAATAAAGAGTTCCAAACTAAAGATCGCACACAACTCACTTACTTGAGAAGCTTCGCTGCCTCTTCCGCAACCTTCGCTTGGAAGGCGGTTTCCTTGTTGTGGTTATACAAGTCTTGAGCTTGATCCAACATCCGAATCCTTGGGCCTTGAAGCGCAGAGCCGCCGCCAGTTGATCGATCCTTCCCCATTGCCCAAAATTCTCTCATTAACACATCGGCCGCACCCTGCATTCGTTGAGACCGGCAACGAACTGTCGTCAGGAAGAATGCGAGGGTTTCAATTTTCAAACTTTTCGACGGAATGCCTGACAATACCTCAGGCATCTCCCCTTGTCCAAAATTGTACACGACGAGTTTTTTTTTTTTTAAGTAGCTAGGTGTGCTAGTGGTGGGTCACATGACACTCAGTTTGTGCTTATGAACAAGTCATCGGCACCACACATTCATTCACATGAATCATATCAGCAATAACCTCTCGTTTGAGGGAAAAAAAGGGGGGGGGGGGGGGGGGGGGGGGGGGGATGGAATGCCTCCTGCGCAGTTTGTCTGATTTGGTGCGAATGCCAGGTGGACGATCGGCACTTGGGTGTGCAACTGTGTCCAGATGCATCCGATCAACGAGAGTTTTATGTAAAATAAACTTGAAATAATAAGGGCAGCATATACTCACACTTACCGTCCTTCCCCCAAACACAATGCACGCACATCCTGAATGTATGTAAACGATGTTTCCTGTCATATACACAGCCATAATGAGGGTGCACTGTGTTCGGGGGAACCCGGTAGCACTTCCAAAGATGTATCTGCCTGCAATTTCAGTCCAATTCGGGCATATCGTTCAGAATACTTTCCACTGAATCAATCAAGCCTTCTCAAGCTGTACCGTCAAAACTTCTCCACAACAATACATCCAACTTCTAGCATCCTACTGACTAGTGACTCCTTCATTTTACTTTCTTTTTTTTTTTTTTCATATTTATTCTTTTACAGTTTTACTGATTCCTTCATTTACGTTTGCTCAGCATATATGCAATTGCGTTGTGTTTGCAACTATGCACTTAAGTTAAATTTAATTAATAAATATTATATGCTCTGAAATGTGATCCCTGATATCTTGAGCTGAATCTTATCAACAGATATTGTCAGCAGGATTCTGTATGAAGTCCTAAACATGGCCAAAATACGGCTCATGCAGTCGCTTCACAGCCGTAGAAGGATATAGCCTGCCATGGACAGACAAGGCAGGGGAAGGAGATGCAAGGGACGGATAGAAGAGACGGAAGCCTACGTCCGTGAATGAGGGCAAAGGAGACAAAGGGATGCTTCCTGATACCTGACTGGCTCTTTTTTATTTCCCCCTGATACTCGACTGGCTATCCGAAAAAGAAGGAGAGTGCAGCGAAACTACTACTTCCTTTTCTTGCAAACAACCAAAAACAACAACAAGAAAAAAAAAAAAAAAAAAAGACTTTAAATGAGTTGAACTAACCAAGTGTTCTCTTTTTTTTTCTTCGGGGGGGCGGGGGGGAGGGGGGAGGGGAGAGGGGAGAGGGGAGAGGGTAGGTGCTAACACCTTCAGTACACCTGCTGATGACCCGCCTCAACATTGCAACGGCTTCAGCAAAGGGAACGAAAGTTGCCGCTGCTGAGATGACGGGGGATTGTCTAAGAGGGGGAGAGACAAACAACAAGGATATAGGACTGTCATTGTTTCAGTAAACAGACAAGCATCAATTACATGAACCCATGCTCCCCTCCCCCCCCCCCCCCCCCCCCCCCCCCCAAAAAAAAAAAAAAAGCCGCAGGCCGTGAAAGGTAACGTGATAGTGATCCATACCTGTGGAGCACCTGCAGTGAAGTAAAAATTCTTCAGCATCTCAGGTTCGTTCTGCCTGTAGACCAGAGTTCAATCATCAGAAACGAGTGTTTAACGAGACGCGAGACGTCGGCGGCTACCATCTTCAGCCGAATACAATACCCGGTCATTATTGCTGTACCTGGACTGAAAGTTACACCAAATACGACTATAATGACAGGGCCGTTTTATTCGGTTGGAAGATGGCAGGTTCTTGCAAAAGGAAGTCAGAGGTCAACGCAGCCCATGTCGGTAAGAATGGTACACGCATGCAACTGTTAATGAACAGATCACGAGTTCGATTCTAGAAGGAATCGCATCTGTGGATTCTGTGCAATAATATTAGGGCCCTTAGGGGCTTCTACCTTCAAAAAAAAAAACTCAAAAAAGGGAGGTCAGGACTCAGAAGTAAAAAAAGCATGCTGATGTATTCACTGTTCAGTAATTTCAGTTGAATAACTTGATTTGTAATTTACTAATTTTGTATTTTGATAATTCGATGCAGATTGTTCAAATGTCATCACAACTCGACATCGGGTCTCACTGCACTACTCTCCAAATGTGAAAATTCAAAAATGAGAACGAATCTTCTGCTAGAACATGGAAAGCGATACATGGCCTTATTTTTTTGTCGTTTGTGCATGTGGAGAGTAGGTGCAGCAATGCCCATTATCATACTCCGATGGTAATCGTTTTCTGCTACCGTCTTCACCCGAATAGAACGCCCGGTCATAATCGCTGCATCTGGACTGAAAAATGGCCCAAATAGAGCTATAATGACCGGGCGTTATATTCGGGGGAAGACGGTAGTTACTCTTGTCCGAAAACGTGCAGGACGACGAACGAATTGGGATGAAGGACTGCAGGAGTCTTATCATCTCTTATGTGAACTGAGGAGAGATCTTTGCACCCACCTCCACAAATGAGAGCTTTCAGGAGCTTAGGAAAATAAAAATAAAAATAAATAGAAGCCAGCACCGCAGATGTGTAGGTAGGCTGGGAGGGGGATAAACCAGTCTATATTCCATTCTCCGTTGCTATTCCAATCTATGTCAATTTTTTACTGTTATTCCAGTCTACTGCCATTTTTCAGTACTACTACTCTACCGACCCTGTCGTCCCGTGGTACTTGCGAAGGTACCAATAAGCCGCCGCGGTCCCGTAGGATTGATAACATTCAACTTGTCACAACCCGCGTCCTTCCCCGAACACAGCGCACCCTGATCCTGGATGTATACAGGAGGTCTTTCCAGCTTCTTTTTCCCCCTTTTGCGCTGGAGCTGCCCGAGACCCTGGCCGGGGGCAATGCCCGGCCGGGCAGAAGTTCAGTGCCTGTTCGCCCGGAAAAGCACCCTAGACCACCAGTACATTCCCCAGCTATTTTGTTACGATGTGACGGACGGTTACCATGCGCTGCGTCCTTGACGCCTCAGCCTACCGAATAGAAAGACGTGATTTTGCACCCGCGCTGGGTTTGGTTTTTGGAGTACGGAACAGAAATCGGCATCAGGAAAAAGAGGCTCAGACGCACTGGTGGTTTAAACCGCGAGTACACAACCCAGGCAAGCTCGATAATCGAGAACGAGTCATCCAAAAAGTTTGGGTGAAGAGCGCTACCGGACCGTAATGGATGGTGGCGCCAGCGAATAGCAAAAGAAATGCCGCACTGGTGTTTTGACAAAGCTTGGCGCGCGGAGGAAATACGCCTCGGCAAAAGAGGGCTCGGATGTACTGGTGGTTTACTGGACCGGCTGTTCCCCTGGCCAGGCTACCATGCCCGGGTCCCGGGTGGCCAGCCCGTGCAAGGACCAGGGAAGGTCCCAGCAAAAAAAACAAAAAATCCAGAAAATGCGAAAAAAACGCTATGTTATGCAGAAAAATAAACTGAACAACTTTTGCCTCAGGGTCACATCGAAATTCTTCACCAAGTTTAGAGTAAATTTTAAAATTTAAAATTTAAAAATATTTTTTATTTTAAAATTTTTAATTTTTTTTTGGCCCGGCCGGGCAAGTGACCCCGGGCCACTCTGGTAGCCTAGTCCCCTGAGTAAAAAACAAGAAGAATTTGCAGACCACAGCCTCTCGCCCTCTTTTCTATACCCTGTTGACGGCCCTACGACTCATAACCGCTTTTTTTTCCATGCCCCTCTCACCTTGCATAAGCAACGAAGAGGTCTCTTGCAATTGGCTTCCCCTGAATGAACTTGAAGAATTCATCAATTGGTTTCTGCACACTCGCAGGCAGGACATGAAAGTGAGGCCAACATAACATGAGCAAGATAGATAGACAAACATATCAAAGAAAGGGGAGGAGGAGGAGGAAGAGGAGGAAGAGGAGGAAGAGGAGGAAGAGGAGGAAGAGGAGGGTGTTGTATGTCGGTGTCGCAAAAAGCAACAAATAACAGCTAGGCAATTTGATATAACACATGCATTGAGTGCCAACAACCATCTTCATCCAAATGGAACACACAGTCGTTATCACTGTACGTAGACTCAAAACATTGCACCAAATACAGTGATAAGGACTGCTCTTTCTATTCAGGTGACGACGATAGCACTTCCACAACTGAAACTGTCTGCCAGTGTGCTACCTTCGTCGCCCGAATACAACGTACAGTCATTATAGCTGTAGTTGGGGTTACTTTTTTTTTTTTTTTTTTTTTTTTTTTTTTTT